TTAGAGTTTTTTCAACATTCAGCAGTCTGATGGCGGAGGGGAAGAAGCTTTTGCAGAATCTGCTGGTAATTAACCAAAAGCCGTTAACATGTGGGAGAGCTTCTTCTTCCTTTTAGTTTAAGAGTTAAAACATAATTTTTTAACACTCCAAATGCAGTAGGATTGTTTTGGTTTCCCTAAATTGAAAGATTACTAAGGTATGCTATTTGACAGGCATGACAGTTTATGTCTGATTTTAAATGGAAGTGTGTGTCATTCCACTATATCAATGCAGCAGACAGCCTCCAGAGCAGAGGTGAGAGGGCAGTCGGGTCAGGAATAGCAACAACAACTGCATACAATGGAGATAAATCCTCAGCAGCTGTAATAGAAAACCCTGTGTTGCTTAACATGCAATGAGTGGATGAGTGTCATTAAAAGTATTTCTGTAGTATTTCAAGTATTAAAATTAAACTACAGCATACCCACTTTGTCTCTGTGTTGGATTTGTAAAGTAAAGCCTTGTCACACCTTGACGATTTAGCCAGTGTATGCATGACGTCCCAGAATCTTTGAACTTTCTATTTATATTTTCAATTTTGGGCCTACACATTGCGTATTCACAACAAGTCCAGAACTTATGTCCAACGGCAGCCTAACATATGCATAACGCACGGATGTGTAGTCCCCATCAATTGTCACAAGCCAGTGTCCTGAGGGGGGCAGCGATGTGCCCTGAGGCACTCGGCCTGCATAAAAAGGCAGTGGGCATGAACACAGAGAGGTCCATCACACTCACCTTCTCACTCACCCAGTGATGGGGATGAAGTCTGGAGGAGAACCAATGGTTTTCTCCTGTGAACCCCCTTTAATAAAACAAAACGCTGCCAATAGGCCATTAAACAGTAGCTGAAAGTTAGAAACATGTTCAGCGGTTGTCTGGAAAACGTCAAATACGATGATATGTGTTGGAGATAAGTTCTTGATAAGTTACGCATCAGTTATGCACAAATTACTCATAGGTTTTGGTAAGATAGATAAGCTAGACGCCACAACTTTTGAGTAACTTACACTTAACGTATGTCAACGATCAGATAATTTACCAATAACTTATGTCCAACATACGAGCATGCGCTGGCATATGTAAATTTCCAGACCTACTTACTGTATGTCGACGTGTGCCTGCGTACTTCAGCTTGCTCATAACTTATACAAAACATACACATAACATATCCAACATATGGATATAGGGTTTTTGCCAGATTTTTGGTACGTCAGACATATGTTGGCTAAATCGTCAAGGTGTGACAGGCGCTTATAGCATTAGAATTGTACAAATGTCTTTAACCAACATGCTTACATAGAAATAGACGTAAAAAGGTCTTACCAAAGAAAGAGGAAACAATTAATATTTAGAACCAACTGACTCGCTGTTTCCTCTTCTCCTCTCAGCTCTTATGTACGATGGTGGCTGACATCTCAGCCCGAGCTTTGACCACATCTACCACAGATGATCAGCCTCTCCTCCCTCCACGCCACAATCAGCACACAGACCAGGACTCAGGCACTGAGGTGGTCTGTGACAAGTGCCCGGCAGGCACCTATGTTTCTGTCCATTGCTCACCAAAAATGGTAAGGGAGTGCAGCCCCTGCCCTGAGGGTACCTTCACACGAGGTGAGAACGGTGTCCAGCAATGCCACCGCTGTCGAGCTCCCTGTCCTACAGGCTTCATTGAGAAGGTGCCTTGCACAGCCACCCAGGACCGGGTCTGCACCTGTCCGCCCAACAGCTTCCTATCAAGGGACGGTGGTGGAGAGTGTAGACCCCACTCACTGTGCCCTCCAGGGACCAGGGTGAAAAAGCGGGGCACGGAAACAGAGGACGTTCTCTGTAAGCAATGCACCAAGGGGACATTTTCTCACGTGGAATCCCGTGCTATGAGTTGCAGAAATCACACAGATTGCCAGGCTCTGGGACTGCTGCTGCTTAAACCAGGAACAAAACGGACAGATAATGTCTGTGGACCCCCTTCTAGCACTTTATCAACCGTCTCACCAACCACTTCAATGGGGGCTGCAGAAGCTGCGTTTGTAAAGGGATCTACGCTGTCCTCAACAATGAATGGGCCTGAACAAAAAGGTGAGACTGGGGGACTTTATTAATCAGCCAATAATTGTGGACCTCACTTTTGGTGAAAACTTCCAACATTTTCAAAAAAGAACATTTTTCCGTTTGTTTGTTTCATTAACAACAAAGACGTAGAGGAAAAATTTCCTGCAAAATCAGCCGCGTTTGTCTAATGACTCCAAGGTTTCTTAGAGAATTTTATTGAACAAAATGCCTTAGTATGAAAGCAGAGGAACACAGTGGACAGGTCAGAGAGAATGACTGTAGAGGCAGGATTCTAAAAGCACTATCTCAAGCTGAAAGTGGAAAAAGTATGACACCAAATCAACCTAGAATGTCATGGATGTGCTAAGCTAACAAACCAGGCAAAGAGGGTGTAAATAAGAAGCAGCCAAAAAGACTATCATACCTTTTGGAGGTTTAAACATCCACAGCTCAGATGGAAAAAAAGAAACACAACAGACAATCCAGGGGTTACATTTTGAAGAAAATACAATACGTTTATGGATGATTAAAAAAAAACCCCACAGCTTTCATCATCATCTGAAAACAGAGAAATAGACAAGGTGGGAAAGGACAGAATTAGTGCATCTGAGGCACCAATGCTCTAGCTTGAGACCTCTTAAACGGACAACTACTTGTCAGGTACTTCAGACAACCAAAGGAAATGGAGTTTTCCATAAGCCATATAGAGAAGACACCCAACCTGATCTGGTCAGATGAGTGCGGAAACCTAGAGACTGTAGAAGACTCCAAACTAGTGTTAAGATGCACCTTACTGTGGGAACCTCAAACTTGAAAGCAATGATACATTAGAGTGGTTTAAATAAAGGCATATTGATGTGTTAGAATGGACCATTCCTTGTCTAAACCTGAACCCCTCCTACAATCTGCTTTTTCTAACTAGAAATAGCTGCTCACATTTGCTGATTGAACAGGTGATCAGAGGCACATCATTGAGTCAATCCATTACATGAAACCTAGATAAAAGACAAAGAATATCTCAAGTGTTACGTTGACGTTAGGGCTGAAACAATTAGTCATATTAATCTTGATTAATTGATTATTGAAATAATTGTAATAACTAATTTAGAAATCGATTAATCGTTAACTGGAGTATAGAGACTCTAAAACATGCATTTAGCTGACAGGGCAAACTCTCTCAGCAGTAGCTATACCAAATTGTAAAATAATATATTAATGTTTTGCATTTAATGTAAAACACTTTCAAAAAAAGACTGTCAGTATGCTCTATCCAGAAATCCTGAACTTTAAAAATGTTCACCTGGTTTAATTCTGTAAAAAAACTTCTGTAAGGAACATTTTACTATCCCATTATTATTGAAAAAAAATCTACAGGTTAATCGATAAGCAAAATAATAAATTTTTGCAGCCCTCCTTGACTTATAATTACTGTTTTACATTTCCCAGTTTATCAAGTTTATCTGCAACTTTAAAAAATGTGCTACATTTGATGCAAAGCTTTGATTCAGAGGTGCCTTTGTATTAGTAATCTATGTAAATACAAACCATATCAAAATAAAAAAATAAATATCAGATAATATGGAGATGTTTTTGATCCATATGCCCCTCATTCCCCACTGGAATTATGAAAGGAGGAATATATGTTGGCATGGAAACAGTTTGCTGGCCCTTTATATTAGGAATCTTTACACCTTTTATTTTTTCCCCCTTTTGGCTAAAATCCTCTCTGTAATTCCCCTAGTTTGTTTCCAGTATACCCTCTTTTACAGGTTTTACGTCATACTTCTCTCAGCCAGCCAAGCAGTCATTTCTCAGAATCAACCATCCATAGCTAGCATACCTCTCCCTCCCACTGAGCCCCCCCACAGCAGTAATACTGTCACTGCTGTTTGTGTTGGCAGTGGATCGATGGCCTTTGAGCCAGTTCATTTGACACCGTCTGAGCTGTTAGAAGGATGATGAAGCAGGGGGGCTAGTGCTTGGGGGGGTGTTGGATACTCAGGGCTGTTATTTTACTCCTGCTATTCTCTGGTTGTAGAGGAGGGGGTTGTTATTGTGATTCAGCAAGAAGAAGACAAAGAGATTGAATGTAAAAATTGTGTAGAGGAAGTCTGTTTTTCCTTCCGATGTTTTTCTGTAATTAGCTACGTACAGATTATTTAATGTTGCATCAGACATTGCCCAGAAATGTTCAGCAGTGATGTTGCATTGTTTAAATCCAGCAGAATGTAAAGATGGCTTAAGGCTTTCTTTGATCCATTGATATGTAGTTAAAGTCGTTGCAAAGTCATATTTAAATGTTAAATATTTCTGGCCTAAACATGTATATCGATGACTCTTTATCAGGTGATATTGTCTCAAAATTTAGAAAAATTCTTTTTAAAAGAAAAAAAAAATCCTGTCTTAACATCTGTTGTCAGCTTGAACACCTAAATTTGGCCAATCATATATCAAAGGTCATCTGTCAATCAAATTTTTTTGGTCAAAGCATCTTAATTCATATGTCGCAGCTAATATATGCCACGGTTAAAATAAGAATCATTTCCTTTCCCACTGAGTTCCGTCCCAGTGTTCACGGGGATGGACGTCTGTGTCTTCAGCAGGCGTAGAGCTAACAGAACTGGCAACGTTGCGAGGCAAGGGCTCAAACATGTACGGCTGGAAGCCTTCTACACCAAACCAAGCTTCTGCCGCCCTGGCGTCCTCTTCCACAACATCTTCATCCCCACTTTCCTCCTCTAAATAAAAAATTGGATGACAGAGGAGACTCATCCACGACCTCCGACACTAAACTCTCCTCCTCTTGCATGTTTCCGCTGTCCATAGCGTTCCTTGACAGTGTCGTTTCTAAGTCACCAATTTAGTGCTACTTGGTCCCAATGGAATTTCCCATTGGGAACCTACTAGCACTAAGTTGCTAACTGGTTAGCAAGATGCTTCAGAGACACCGGCCAACAATCAAACGTGCTTGCGAACCTTCCGCCACAAAAACCCCGCCCCCTTGATAAACAACCAATCACATTCACTTTATTCACTCGTGTAAAGTCGGGCACCACTAGGGAGAATTCGGAAATGCAACGGTTGGAACAGTCGCTTTTAATGAAAGCATTATAACGCTTTCATTGGTCAGTTATTGACACTGACACTAACAGGAAATAGAGGCTTGAAACAAGCTCTGGACACAGAACATGTTAAGCTTTGGATCAGTTAACCATGTCAAGCTTGGTTCCTTATGACCGTTTACACACCACGCTAGCACATTTCCTCACCTCCTAGTGATGATCTACGGTAGCACTGCTCTTTAGAGGTAAATAAGCAAACCAACAAGGCGGCGCCCATACCATTCAGGAAGTTATGTTTTGTTATCATTGTGATATTGTGTTGTCAGGCTAAGAAGGCAGCCTTTGGTGAATTTACTTGTCAGAGTCGGCTTTTGGGAAGTGAATACGACAAGCGATCGTCTAATCAGGACTTACAGACGCAGGACACAATGACAGTCCTTGAGGTCCATCACACTGCTAAGCAGAATCTTCACTGGAAATCTGTAAACTGTGGCATGGCAGGGAGGCTAGGATTTATATGAATGTCTGAATTGTCATTAATTAGGCCCCGTCCACACGAAGACGAACCCTGGCCTAAACGCACAAATTTTTCACCAAACCAGCCTCTCATCCACACGAAGCCGGCGTTTCTTCTTTTTTTTATTCAGCCTTCAGAGTGGGAAGATTTCGAAACGCCGTTTTCGTGTTTCCATCTTTACGCTCTAACCGCATTTTTTTTTTTACACGCATGCGTCATAGCGTCGCCTCTAAACACGCATGCGCAACACAGTATCACAACAACAATGGCGCCGTTGCTGCTAATGCTACTCACCCTGCTGTCGGGCTTACAACAGAATCTTCTTCTTCTGGAATATCTCCAGGAAGAACAGAGCAATATCGACGACATAGTTCAGCACCTGAATTTGACTGAACCACGAAAATGGACCCGCAGGGCAACCATGTATAAATATTAGTGCACATGCCCAACATTTCGTCGCTTATTTTTGCTTTGGCACCACAGCGCCACTTACAGGCCTGGCATACATTTTGCAGCGTTTTCATGCATTCGCGTGGACGCTCACATTTATTTTACGTCTCCGTCTTTACGGCAAACGTTTTGGAAAATATCAGCGTTTCGTGTTCGTTTTGACTTCGTGTGGATGGGGCCTTAAAGAGGCGGACTGTAAGGAGATGATGCGGTCTGCTCATGTGATCTTTGTTATCTGACAACTGAGCCAGAACTGAACGGCGCCAAGCCCTACTGATGAACTAGTACCAGTTTAGCTCAGTTGGGTTGTGTCTGGCGCGGTCCGGTTCAGTTGTGCGTGCCTTTTACACTAAGGAGTTATCTCAGTTACTGGGCTCGGACCGATCTCAGCACGGTCTCTAAAGCGTAGGGGAAATGAGGCTAGTGACCTTTAAAGCTTTTCAGGTACTGTTATCAGTAGCTGTTCACACTGGATTATCATTGATGCCTCAAACCTCCTTCCAGGGTGAATAATCAGCTCTTTGGTCTATAGAAAATTCCGCTTCGGATTTTACATACACCTGACTAAAATATGGACAAAGATTATTTTGAAAGTTCCAGAGAAATTAATTATAACCCTAGGAATGTTGCTGATGTAAATCTGGATGGATATTTAAGCATAGCTTCTAACATAATCTGTAGAGCTCATCTTAAATAGTTAGTTTACTTACTTCCAGACCTGATAATTAATTATAGTCAACACATTTTTCAAAGGGATTGTGGTTGGGGTTGTTCCAGCTTAAAGTTAGCCAGTGTTGACGTATGCTTGGGACCATTATTCTTTTAGATAATCAGTTATATGTTTTAACCATTTCACACAAACCCAACATTAGAGGTTGGTTAGGGTGGTAAGTCAGAAACCACCAATGTGCAAGAGTATCACTGTGATGGTCCATAATCTAGTTCATAGATCACAGAAGTGGTGTCCCTGCATCAAAATCAACAGCTTGAAACAGTTGCCCATGTGGACAATGCAAAAGTTATCTTGAGAAATGGTCAGATGAAACAGAAATATCTAAAATGATGAAGTTTATTTGGACCATTTAGGAAGAGGATTTTAAATACTGTATAGGGAAACCTCCAGATTCTTTCAAAGGTTTGAACCTGCTTCCACGTTCCAACCTGGAAACATGATAGCTGACACAAAACTGATCTACTCACTAAGTGTAAATCAAAGCAGGCTCAAACATTTCAGCAAGTTTGTCTTCATGAGTATGCAAAACCATGTTGCAATATTTGAAAAAATGGTTGCAAATTCACATGAAAAAAACTAGTGTGGCATTGATGTAATCGTTCATGATAAAGAGAGTCTATCCGCATAGATTAGTCTTAGTAGGAAAAAAGACGTCTGACCAGGATAAACTAATGCAGCAGAACTGAAGACTATCCTGAACATGAACATATTCTAAGGTAATGATAAAAAAGTTACAATAATATTTGGATAAAGCAATGTTTAAGGAATGCCATTGACCTAAACCATGTTGAAAATGAATGACTATCATTATAATGCAGGTCAGTGTCAGGAAATTGTCATATTTAAATACCTACTATATTATATAAGCTTGTATTTCTATTTTTTGACCTTGTTATAGAATATGTTGTTTGACCATTACTCCACCCTGGAACAACCATTAAAATCCCACCATTAATATAATATTCATGTTAATGATGGTTGCAGCTTTAACTAGGACTGTAATTATGCAGCATAACAAATCAATCATATTAGAAAACAACAGCTTGATAGATATTTCTTTAATAAAGATATTTTCATCTTAATGCCTGAAGAGATATTCTTACACGACAACAGGTTTCATATGTATGAAATACATATGAAACCTGTATGTAATATCAGCTGTGCTGCTGCCATCAACATCTTTGTTTATAGGTGTCCGAGATCTGGGTGTTTTTCAGTGTAGTCCTGTTTCTCTGGCTGGATGTGCTCTCTTCATCATCTTACATGGGAGCTGACTTGGAGCTTGTCTGCCTCGCTGTGTGTTTCCTGGACGGGGCCGCCTTTTACAGCTGCTTTTTCTATCTCTGCTTCTGTCTCCTTGAACCCCAGTCGGCCTCGGCAGATGGCCGCTCACACTGAGCCTGGTTCTGCTGGAGGTTTCTTCCTGTTAAAAGGGAGTTTTTCCTCCCCACAGTCGCTACAAGTATGCTAAGTGTGAGGAGATTGCCTTTGAGTCAATGAGTCGATACAATCAACTGGTTTTCCTTAGATAGAAAACTTTGAATCAGTTTGACTGTATGATCTGGTGAACTGTAAAGTGCCTTGAGATGCATGTGTTGTGAATTAGAGCTATAGAAATAAACTGAATTTAATTGAATTGAAAGACAAATAAGGTACGAGTCGGTAGATTTGGTGTGGACTAATAGAGCTCAGTTAAATTTTTCAGGATCTATAAACCTAAAGCCAAGCAATGGTCCAATAAATGTGACATTATAGTTTGCAAAGAGAAGAGGAAGACAAACAAAAAGCCATTTCTCTTGACATATATATGAGGCCATGATGCATTATGATGCTTCTTTCTCTTTACAGTCTGCTCTTTTACCCTGATAGTTATCATTGACTGGCAAAACTTTTGCATTTTGGGGGATTATAATTACCCACGGTTTACAGTCTGCTAATGAAAGAATAAAAAGGATTATTACACATCCAAATGACAATTCAGGGATTATATAACACAGATCCCATCAGCATTAAAGGTACAGAAAGCAGCAGGGAGTTGCCAGAGATAGCATTGATAATCAATGGGAGGGAGTGACGCACTAACATTGACAGAGCAGTTCTCTTTCCATGCCTGGAGAATTTGGCAGCTGTTGTTAACGTTGAATGCAACACCGCAGCACTCTAGATGCCCTTCAGCCGATTGATTCCTGGTACAGAGACTGACAGTGGTCTTAAACATTGGACTACATTTGCAGTGAGATGACAGGGCAGAGCACAGTGATTAGAAATCTTTGTAGTTGAAGCAAAAACACTTTATTGAAGCGGTTGTGTTACATTTCTCCCTGAATTCCTAATTAATTGATATTCTACTATTTATATTGAGTTATTCTTGTATTTTGCAGTCTCCAATGTCAGCAGCATAGCATCAGCTTTTTTTTTTTTAGACAGATTCACCTGTTCAACTGCTTAATAACACAGACATCAGCCTATCCCTTTGAAGGAATGCGTTCAGGGATTGGAATGAATAAAACAATGTATTTAAATTTTCCCCGCTTGTGTAGATCAAAAAGTGTACAAAACATGTTTACCATAAAAAATAGCTATCAGCAATTACAACATTAATTCCTAAAATGAACATATGCTTTATACACAATCTTTATTGGCTCAATATGCAGGACTTTGAATTAAACGGACTACAGAGGCAGAAGACCACTGACTGCTACTCTGCGCAAATAAAAACAATTGTGAGGCTAAATTACTTATATTCACAAAAAACACGGACTGTAATAGATTTGGAAAATGTTCTACTTTCAAAAGAGCATTTGGTACATCATAGTCCCCTACCCAGGCATTGTATCTAAACCATCTTATCCATAAATAACAACCACTGTATACCAGTCCTCTGATGGCTACTTCTCCCATGACAATTGACCATGTCAACAAGCTCCAACTGGATCCCTAAACATGACAATACATTTTTTTTTTCCTTTTCCCTTCCCAGTAAACACATCTTAAACCAGTATTGCAGCTTTTGTCCGTGGTCGAAAAAGAAAACACATGTATGATGTTATCACATTGATACACATGTTTGGGACATCTTTAAATTTTGTGTCAGCAAGAATTAAAGCGGTTCTCAGGGCAGAAAGGGGATGTTTTAGGCTATGAGGTTGCAATTTAAGGGACTAAAAAATCAAGCTTAGTCTCGCCTGTAGAGTGACACATCTTCAAGAATTTAGTTTTAGATTTTTCTCAACTGTCTCACAACAGCAAATTAAAATAGTGAAACTTTTCTAATTTTCTTTCCAAAAAAATGCACATGCACAACACTGTACCCACTCCTGAGAGGAAACGCCTATTAAACACATGCAAGAGCATGCACAAGCCCATTTCTCCTCGTGCACGACCACTTCTGAGGCTTCTTTTCCCCTTCTCATACACTTGTAGACACTGTTTCTCTTACGGCCCTCTGCCATTCTCAAAGAACCGTGGTGAGAAAGTTGAGCTTGAATGACTGTCTGAAACCGTAGCTCACCACAGATATATACCTGAAAGTGTGCAAGCGCAGACAAAGATAGCTAACGGGACGAGTATGTAGGACAGCCGTACGTAAACATATCACCAGAATGATTGACAATTAGGAGGACCAATTTTTGAGATCCCGTAAAAATTCAAAAATATCCACTGGACTTGGTTTTCAAGATTTGAAGACGTTTCGCCACCTCTCCAGGAAGCTTTCTCAATTCAAATGTCTGGATCCGCAGTGAGTTTGAGTCTTATATAGACAACGCCTTGTATCGCTTGGAAACATGCAATGGTTTCCAAGCGATACAAGGCCTTGTCTATATAAGACTCAAACTCACTGCGGATCCAGACATTTGAATTGAGAAAGCTTCCTGGAGAGGTGGCGAAACGTCTTCAAATCTTGAAAACCAAGTCCAGTGGATATTTTTGAATTTTTACGGGATGACTACGACCTGGATGACTGAGAACCTTCATCAGCAATTTTTGAGATGATTCCCCCCGAAAAAGAACATCCTCCATTATACCTTTAATATCAAACATCATTTACTGTAAAAGCAAGATTTGAAAGTCAAACTAATTTCACTCACTGGAAGAAACCCTCACAAACCCTAATAACCAGTACCAACTTCCATTCAAAACCCTTTTTACCAATTGATAAGGGTTAGTTTTTGGGAAACTTTTTTTTAGCAATAGGAGGCCAGATATCCAGCTTTGGGAATGTAGGTTCTCTCTGAATAAAAAACACAGCAAGGCGCTTAAAGGAAGAAGAAGCTTCTACTGGTTTCTAGGGTTACGCTCCAGGTCCTTTGCATGGATTAGGATTAGGCTTCACTCCTGTGAGATCTTCTGTTTTCATGGTGGCGCTAAGCAGTGATTCTCTGTCTCTCTGTTGACTCTTCTCCCTTTTAGGTTATCTTTTTTTCACCTTATTGCTGTATCTTTTTCTCAATCCAACCTTCACAGGTCCATCAGCAGCCATTCAACTGAGGGAACCTATAGGTGGGGGAAACAGAGGAGAGGAGCTGATGGTTGCCCATTCTGGCAGCTCCATCCCACCAAATCAGGAATCCTCATGGACTTCCATGTCCACAGCTCGAAAACAAACTATTGATCCAAAGCAAGAGCTGGGCGAGCCTATTGCGAGACCTGAGTTAAATAAGCCACGAATGGAGCGTCCAGATGGCCCAGAAGTAATCAGGGTTGGAACTGGTATCAGCAATGTGGCTAATGCTGGAAATGGGGATCCAGGCTCTGGCTACTACAGACCCAATCGCAGAGGTTCCCCAAGGCCAACCATGCATGATCACTTTGACATCAACGAACACCTCCCCTGGATGATAGTCCTGCTGATACTGCTGGTGCTGGTCGTGATTGTTATGTGTAGCGTCAAGAGGAGCTCTCGGGTGCTAAAGAAGGGCCCCATGCAGGACCCAAGTAGCATCATGGAGAAGGCAATTCAGAAGAAACCGTCTGTGCCTCCAACACAGGCCAGAGAGAAGTGGATCTACTACTACTCCAATGGCCAGGGTAAGGTTACACCATATTCTCTGATTTTGACACATGAGAACTTTTATGGTCCACATTGCCTGTCACATATTCGGGACAAGATTTAACCCTCTAAAATGGATTTACCTTAGTGCTATGTTGAACAAGTATTCACTAGTGTTGCACCAATACCAGTATCGGGCGGGGCCCCGATCCAGCACTAAATTGGCGGTATCGGCGAGTACTAACAAATACTGATACCATTTTCCATCCATCCATCCGTCCGTCCGTCCGTCCGTCCGTCCGTCCGTCCATCCATCCGTCCATCCATCTATCCATCCATCCATCCATTTTCCGTTATCCCTGATGGGGTCGTAAATAGGGGTACGTACCACAATACTTTGGTCACAATATGATATTATCACAATATTGCAATATCACTATACTTGCGATATTTCCCCCAACTATCAAATTAATTGTATAGATAAAAAAGCAAGTTCCGTACATGTTCATCAAAAGATATACATTAAGAGATATATTTTGGTATCCATGATATTTGAGTCATCTTCCACTGTTACTGCCTTAACTACAGAAATGGCGCTGCGCCGCACAGCAAAAAGTGCTCCAGAGCGCTATGTGCCAGAGTGAAGGTGCAGAGGTAGCCAATTTTCCCCAATTGTTTTAGGTAAAATGTTTTGTTTTTAAAAAATCGATACTAGAAACTGAAAGATAGTTATGATATTACACAGCTGCAAATAACGTCATATCACCAAACCGATTTTGGTGTGCTGGTGCCTATCTCCAGCTTTCATATTGATCATTCTATTTTTGGAATCTCGCAACTGATGCCTTAAACTGCGTCATATTGTCAGCTTTCATGAATTAATATTGAATTATAACACACTCGCCGTCAGCATCATAGATTGGTTCTGTGGGATCTACTGGTGTTCAATCATCTGTTGATGTGTATGAACTGCTGTTAGCTTCTAATCCAATCTATCGTTCCCCTTAGCACATGGTGTACAGGGTGGTGGTTACACAAATGAGGACATGACCCCGTTGTACTGTTACCCTTCTGTTATTGTCTTGTATCAGTGGCTATGCTCCAGTTCACTTTCAGATCTTTGTTCTCCTATTTCACCCTGGAATGCTCCTACTTTTCTGTTCTTATCTCTTTCGTCTCTATCTTCTCCTTTAAAATGTCTTCCCTGTTCTATTTTGACTTTTTTCCTTTATAGTTTTTTCCTCATTTAATCTCATAAGTCCTTGTTTTTCTTCTGTTGTTCTACTGCACACTTTTCTGGCATTCTTTCCTTTTCCATGTATGCACTTTATGTCATGTCTTAACTGGGTTACATTCTGTCAACAGGTGACAACATTCTTTTCTCCACCTCCAAGCTCTCAATTTCCACCTGAAACAAAGAGATGACACAGCACTCAATGGGCACCTCTCATTTGAGTCTCTTGGGTTTCCATGCAGAAACTTAGCAAGTGTATTGGTAAGATGAAGCAGAGCAGCCGCCTCTCTCTCTGTGCTCCCTCAGGGACAGCCCAGAGAGAACTGGAATAATCAGGTTTGAGCTGAACCAGGATTGTTGTTCGTTGGCGTGGCACATTATTGGGTCAATCGCTTCTCTAACGGGACAACAAAGAGATACATGGAGTGAGGGAAATAAAGAGAATGTGCAAAACCATTCAGCAGTGTTTGTATCTGTGTGCTGTTGTCGTGGGCCAATTATACTTTCCTTGCTGTTGTTTTGAAACTATTGAAAGCTGCCTGATAAGATGTATAAAGTTTGAAACAAACTTATTTGCCAGGGACGAAGAAGGCCGTAAAGTGACCACATGAAATGTTTTCAATCGAAGCTGAGAGTTAAAGGATCATAGCACAAGTTCCAGAATATTTGCAGAAGTTTTTCCTCTCTGGAAAATGACCTCAGTCATTTTTTTTAGAGCACTAATGTCATCCTAGGTAAAAAAGTTCAAAATGTTGAATTTATGCAGTGTTCACTATGAATGTGTTTTAGCCTTAGAAAGGCATTCAGTACCTTGTGTTGCTCTTTGAAGCTCTCCAGGAAATCGGTGATCAGAACCCTCTTATTTTCTTTGTACATGAAAAATTACTTTTTATCTAAACTGAGTCTTAACCTTATTTATGTATACATAAATATGCAGTATAATATATATCGCCCATTTCCTTCTGGTTCCAATAGCCCGTTTTACATCAGAGCGTTCTGGTTCCCCTAACGCCTGATGCAGACAGTATTTTGCCGCGCAACGCCTGAGCCGTCATGTCATTCATTTTATTGTCACTTATCATTATATGAGGTAGGCATTAGCATAAAGGGCCTAGCCTAAGGACCCACACTGGCAGTTTGTCACTCTTCCCGAACGGGTATTTGAACCCATACTGTTGGTTTGCAAGTCAGGTGACTTGTCATGTTATCTCACATGACAAGGTCACCCGACTTGGCACGCAGACGGTCCGGGTAATCCACCTTTACTAGGGGAGTTAAAGCACCCAAAGGTCAAGGCATCAGTGGTGCCCATGGTTGTTTGGGCAATCGGGCCAGTGACCCCCAAACATGAGGAGCGTTTAGGCAGTGGATGAGGTAGAGGTTTTGATATATATATATATTAGGGGTGGAACGGTTTACAAAATCTACGGTTCGGTTCGATTCACGGTTTCATGGTCACGGTTTTCAGTTCGGTTTGGTTCGATATATGTTGATTGTTACACCGAAATCCCATAAAAATTTATGAAATTAATGAAAAAATCCCCCAAAAAATAATGGATTGTAATTATTTTAAATGATCCACGGAAACCCTGGATCATTTCCGTATGTTTTGCTGCTTTGAATTTAGTCATCTGGCGCATGCTCTCTACCATCTCCAAGGGACTCAGAGGGGAGCCACAGTGGGGGCTGTAGGCTTTGCTTTGAGCAGCCGGTCTGGAGCGCAGCGGGGCGGAGCGCTGACGGAGNTTACTGTGCTGGAAACGGTGATACAGAAAAATGGAAAATGGAAATGGTGATAAAGCTGATACAGCTTCTCTGATTGATTGACTACATCAAGCTGCAAAGGTACAGTTTTTTTTTTTACTTTATCATCTGACAAGCTTGAAGGGTTTGTCAGATGATAAAGATGAGAAATATCTTAGCTTAATTTAAAACTGACTATTTACTTCCATCCTATTCCATCTATTAGACTCCAAATATAGCCATTTTGTATCACACTAGAAACAGGTTTTATTTCTTTACTCTTGTGTGGAGTTTCTCGGGTTGGGATGTTTTTTGTCGCTAATGCATTGATGGCAGAGGAGACTTAACTGAGCTTTAGGGGGAGTGTTGGCCTAGTGGTTAGAGCAGTACGTTTGTGTTTTGAGAAGGTTGCAAGTATCTGGTTCGATCCCCACAGCCTGCACTCTGGGTCTCTGAGCAAGATCCATAACCCCGATTGTGCCCCAGGCACCCCACTGTGGCAGCCCACTACTCCACAAAGGGATGGGTTAAGATACAGAAGGGAATTTCTCTAGTGTGAGATCAATAAAGTTGAATCCAACTATTTACCAGAGTAGCCCAGTGGACAAGAGCCACACAGAGAGTCATACTCATTAACTGACTGATAGAGCCTAAAGAATGAACTTTGGTAAATAGAGGAAAACTTAGTTTACATGTCAGGCAATTGTAAAGGCATGTATGGAAAAGAAATAAAATGTTTAATTTTAAACCTTCCACAGTGCACATTCAAAAAGTGATGAAGGATTTCTTTTTTTTATTTCCACCTTTTTGTTTTGCATTCATGTGTGTTCTCCTGCTGCCATGAGTAATGAGATGCCCATATGTAGGCACTTATGTGGAGCTATATGTATGCATGTGCAACTCAAACAGCTAGTTTACACTGCGTTTTACTCTCTGGAACATAAAACGAAACTGCTTCTTAATCCTTCCAAGGTGCGTGGCTGGCTCCTCTTGAAAGTTGTAATCCACCTTTACTAGAGCAGTTAAAGCAGCCGGGCAATAAAGGGGAAAAGAAAGGGAAACGTTAAAGCATGGATCACACACATGCGCCACTTGGCATTTGGTCAGGAAATGGTAAAAAATGCTACTCTTCCACCGCAACTCTGAACAAGGCTTTCCGGGTCCACAGGCCAGGTTTGTGTTACTGTGATGATGGTGGAGCTATCACACACACAAAAATAAATTGCAAAAAAATTCAAATTTTCTCATTCAAAAAAGATTTTCCATTATGTGAATTAATCCATTACCTATTATAACTGTTTTGTTTTTTTACCAGAATATATTTTATTTACTTTTTGGATGTATTTAATTGATTGATTGATGGATTCATTGATTGATTCATTGACTTTATTGATCTCACAGTGGAGAGATTTACTCATTTCATCAGCTCAAATAGTAAAGGAGAAAAAGAAGGTGCCAAAGGAAGAAAAAGGTGCATGGGATATATACATATATAAAGTGCGTCCATATATGACAGGTCTTTTTTATTTTTTTTAAGGCAGGATCATTATACAGGGTTATTGCACAGGGTGTTTACATGGGTATTTATATAGATACATATTTATATTTATATATATATAGTTATTGCACAGGGTGTTTACATGGGTATTTATATAGATAGATATTTATATATATAGTTATTGCACTGGGTGTCAAATATAGATAAACAGGTTATTGCACAGGGTATCAAACAGTAATTACACATTATAGATTGCACAAGTTATTGCCGTCGTAGTGTCGCACTGTAGAGTCTGATTGCAGCAGGGATGGATGACCTACGGTAGTGTTTCTTTTTACAGAGTATAAAAGTATTTTACTAAAGGAGCTGCTCAGCTCCTCTACAGTCTGGTGCAGAGGGTGAAAGGTGTTGTCCATGATGGATGTGAGCTGGACAGCACCCTCCTCTCAGCAACTTCCTCCACAGAGTGCAGCCCAGGACAGAAGTGGCTTTTCTCACCAGTTTGATCAGTTTCCTTTGTCCCACTCTGCGCTGCCAGCAGACGACACAAGGAAGAGGCCTGA